CTCTTTGTGCTTCCTGAAATCCAAGGCTTTTAACCAGGATCTGTGAGCACTTCAAACACATGGGAAGCTCACTGGGAAGAGACAGTAAAAAGTGCTTGGCTGCCAGGGAGTTTTGCTGTGCTGCTTTTTCCTTTGCACTTTACAACAGCCAGGCCCACTGAAATTTTGGAAAGGAGCATCAACTCTTTGGAGGAGGGTTCAGAAAATGAGATTAATCTGCAAGTTGAGTTCTGAGACCTCCTGAAAGATGCTGGTGTGAGGAGAAGGGACTGTGCTGGAGCGCTCCTGGCAGCAGGGCTGTGCTCCGAGCCGGCACCACTGCGTGGAGCTGTTGGAAGCACAGCTGGCAGAGCCGCTGCCAGGGCTGCAAAAGCAGATTAAAGCCCTGGGGAGCAGAGGAGCAGCCCATCTGCATGTGCCGTGCTTGGGGCTGCCATGCGGGGTCCCAGCCACTGCGAGTGCAAAGTTTCCATTTAGACTCCTCTGTCCCTTTTTTTGGTATTTGTTCTTGGAAGAAACCCCAGGATTTCCAAAGAGAAACCCTGTGTGCAGCACGACTTCTGTGTGGTGAGCACTTGTACTGCGTACATAAAGGCAAAATGCATTTATTGCCATGAGGAATCAGATTTGGGCTTGTTGCAGTACCAGCCCAAGGGACCCCAAACTCCTTTATCTCTAAGCTAAAGCAGTTGATATCTCCTGTGTGTGTCCAGTTAATGCAGCACTCTCTGATGTGTGAGACAAATACCACCAAGTCTGTCAGGCAGTACATTCATGAAGTTAGAAGGGGTTTTGCCTGAGTAAAAAACTGGATTTGACCCTGTAACACACAGAATACAGGACCTGTAAACGGTGCCTCAACACCTTGTTTCCCAGTTCTTCCTTCCCAGTGACTGATTCTCCTTCTGAGTGATTTTCGTACCAATAGCACCATGCACATCACAGCGTGTTCTGGGTTTTGGGCTGCCTTTTTCTTTTTTAAACTGCCCAAGAACACACATGCTGGGGTGTGTGATCACTGCTCTGCTCTGGGCATGTCTGTCCACTTTGCCAACCCACACACCAACGTGCTCACACTGCAGAGCCTCAGCGGGTGAATCTGCCGTGAAAACCAGAGTCAATAAATTTCCTGTGTATCAACTGGTTTGATTTAAAATACTCTTCTGAAAAACTGTTCAGCCAAAGGCAGTAAATATTGTTTATTGCTCAGCCAAACCAACACTTTATTTTGCAATAAGTTGAGTGTAGGAGTGCCTGTAAGTAATGATCCAGTCAATATTGCCACCAACAATGCTGATCGATGTCTGTTTTTCTACCACCCCTTTCTCCCCCACTTCCTCACTTCTCAGGCACAGCATGCCCCAAAAAAATCCCTGTACACTCCAGGATTTTACCTTCCCAGCTCATCTTAGACACTCCTGGCTCTTAGGGCAGAGCCTGTCTATAGCGAGCCCACTGGGAAGGGATTTTAAAGGCTTCCATCAGTCCAGCATCCCCTGCCTCACAAACCTGCTCTAACAAGGCTTTGGGGCTGGGTGCTCCATTGGGAAAGGTTGATGCTGTCTCTTAGCACCAACCTCTTGCAGAGCTTTCCCTTTGCTGCTTCTTGTGCCCTTCAGAAAAATCCTGCCCCATGAAAATGGGCAGGAATAAGATTAGCATGAAAATTCCTAATGACTGGAATCACCTGGAAAAAGAAAAGATGAAAAATACTTGAGTCTCCATAAAAGGGGAGTGAGGCTTCACATCTGAGGCACAGTGGGACCCTCGGCTAGAAGTCCAGGCAGTTTAAATAGCTGAGGTCTTTGGGTGACATTTTCCTGCAAGATTTTAAGTAAATGCCTTGCAGTAACATTTGAGATCAGGCATTTTTTAGTTTCCATGATTCTTTTCCTTTTTTAAGCCGCAGACACACACACACAAAATATATTAAAACGAGCCCAGATTAGCTAAAAGGTCGGCTGGTTCCGAAACAAACAGTGGGGATTTATGGTGGAGGCTTTGGAGCACCAGAAGGAAGCTGGGAGGGGAACGTGGGTTAAAACCTTGCTGGGAGCAGGAGTGAAGGTGAGAAGAGATGTTTTTGTCATTATTTTGGAGAAAGGGAATTCACAAATCCCCCAGGGCATGTGCTGGCAGCAGGGAGAGAAAAGAGGTGCTACACTGAGAGGCCGGAAAGGGGTGGATGTGGGGTGGGTGCCTTTCTTGGGCAGGCTCAGCCCCTGGCTGCTTGGAGAGCAGGGCTGGCAGGGTCTCAGGCTGGACCAGCCCAGCTCTGTAAAAGCCAGGTAAGGACAGAAGGGAGAACCTGCCTGGGCAAAAAACTTTCTGGAAAGGTGGAGAGGTCGATCCCTGCCCGGGGAATGCAAGGCTGCATCCCAGAAGACAAGCCCTGTGCTCTCACCCTGTCTGTGAGGAACAGAGCTGCGAGAGAGATGAGAATCCTTCACGTGTGGCTGAGGCAGGTTTGACAAGGAATCATTAGAATTTACTAAATTAATTAGCTCGTAGAAATGCACTGTTAAGGCCTTTCCTGATGGGAGCACTCAGCCCATTTTTGGGGTGGTCCCTACCAACTTTTGGGGCAGTACCTTCCCCGTGCACTTCAGGAAAGGAGAGATTTGGCCGGTACAAACTGCACCAGCCTGTTGAAGTGTTGATTGTAGCTCAACAGCCACATTATTTCCAGGTACCTGCTACTTCAGTTGGCAATTAGATTTATTTTTAAACTATATCTTTTGATATTCCCTGCCAGTGCTTGGCATGGAGGGAAAGTGGAGGAGGCAGCACATGGAGCACTCAGGAAGAGCTGCTGGGGCAATTCTCTCCTTGCCAGCCATGCCTGGAAAGATGAGGCAGCAAAACCCAAACCAGAGCATTTCTGCAGACAGCTATTGATATAAACGTGCAGATCCACACTGCAAAATTAGACCAGCAGATGGGTATCTTGTTTGTGGGAATAGCAACAGCTTTTCACAAGGCCAAAATGAAGTTACAGCACCAGAAGGGACAATAACTCTTCGTTACAGATAAAGATCCCAAAGGAACTCGCTCTCTGCATCTGTGGGAGAGCTGCTTTAGCCCATAACTGTGGGTTTGTGCCTCAGTCATGGGGCTCTGAGCTCCCCCTGGGGTTTGGGGGCTGGGGACAGTGGGTAGCCAGGAGAGGTTTGCATCCCAGCTGCAGCTCTCCTTCAGACATCAGTACACCCCACCAACTCACCTCATGTTCCACTCTCCTTTTCCAGGATAAATACCCTTGATCCATCCCCAAACCCTATCCAAGGGTCAGGAGCAATTGGGGAGACCAGCTGGGAACAGCAACTCTGACAAACTCCTTTCAGCTAATAAAAAGTTCATAATAGAGGAGCTTAAATGGAAGGAACATTGGTGTTAAGACATTATTAGTCATTCTCTAAACTAAAGTGGGATGAGTGCCGGAAAATATTTCTCTCCAAATTGGTATGAATAACATGACTAAATAAATCTGATTTTGTTTAGTCTTCCATGGGGTTCTTATTGGATTAAGGTAAGAGGAGAAAAACTGGGGGGAATATTGACTCTTGGTGGATGGCTGGGGAAAGCTGCTGCTTGTATTCAAGAGATGATTTGATTGATTGAAGAATTAGACATCTTTCATCAGCTAGGTAAGAGCCTGGGTGAACACAGAGCCCACTGGCTGTTGGAAACAAGGCTCTCAGCATCTGCTAATGAACAAGAAAAATTATGGCTGTCTTTGGATAAACCAGTGATGCTCTGAGTGGGATTTTCCTCCATCTCCTCTCTTCATTTTTAAAGGTTTTTCTCTCAAAGGTGACTGAGTGGACAAACAGCTCACCAGAGTTTTACAGGGCGGCTGAAAGGGTAACCCCACCACAGACCACTCATCCTTTCCCTGTGGAGGATCTATTTGTCACCTTCAACATCACCACAACACCCCACAGCCCCTGTCCCTGCAACAGGGAAGCTCACAGAGGAACCCACATCCCCAAACATGAAAATATTAAGGGAAAAGTCACTGATAGGGACCAAAGCAAAGCAGCTGTGCCGTGGCACTGAGGGTGCCCTAGCAGGTCAGGGCACAGGTAGGTATTTATAGCTGTGTTTCCCCCTTCATTGACATGAATTTATCCTAGCAGCAGCAGGAGCTGAGTGCGTGTTTGGGAATCAGCAGTACCTGCAGATGTACAAGAGTGTCAGAGCACCCCTGATGCCTCTCCTCACCCTGAGGGGGTGAAGGAGGGGGCTCAGCCCCACGAACAGCCCCTCAGCAGCCCCCAGCTTCCAGCCATGCCTCTGTGCCTTAGAGAGGGATGTGGGGTCTCCCCGGGGAGTGGCAGCGCAGCCCAGCCCGGGACCTTCCCCTCCCTGCACGGGCCGGGCCTTGGGGACCGAGCGGGGGCTGCAAAACCGGGGGGCTCTGTGTGACCGGCGGGGAGGGGCGGGCGGGTGTGTACCGGTGTGTACCGGTGTGTGTGCCGGTGTGTGTGCCTGTGTGTGTGTGCGGGTGTGTGTGCCTGTCCCGGTGTGTGTGCCGGTGTGTGTCCGTGTCCCGGTGTGTCCCGGTGTCCCGGTGTGTGTCTGTCCCGGTGTGCCTGTCCCGGTGTGTGTGCCTGTGTGTCCTGGTGTGTGTGTGTCTGTCCCGGTGTGTGTGTCTGTGTGTCCCGGTGTCCCGGTGTCTCAGTGTGTGTGTCGGTGTCCCGGTGTGTGTGTCTGTCCCGGTGTGTCTGTCCCGGTGTCCCGGTGTGTGTGTCTGTCCCGGTGTGTGTGTCTGTCCCGGTGTCCCGGTGTATTTCAGTGTCCCGGTGTGTGTCGGTGTCCCGGTGTCCCGGTGTGTGTGTCTGTCCCGGTGTGCCTGTCCCGGTGTCCCGGTGTATTTCAGTGTGCGGTGCGTGTCCAGCCCCCCGCAGCACAGCGATCAGCGGGGGAGCGGCGGGAGGAGGGCTCGGGGGCCGCTGGCTCGGAGCGGGGGGCGCGTCTCGCACTCGCACACGCGCGGCAGCCCCGGGACCGCGGGCTCCTCCCGCCGCCTTAAAGCCGGCCGCGTCCCGCTCCGGGCGGCGCTGCCCGGCGCCGGGGATGCACCCGAACGCCACGGCCCCGGCCGTGCCCGCCGGGCCGCTGCAGCCGCAGCCCAGCGGCTTCGCCAACGCCACCAACCGCTCCGACCTGCTCCCCAAAGTGCCCGACGAGGAGGACCTGGACGTGAACACCGACATCTACTCCAAAGTGATGGTGACCGTCATCTACTCGGCTCTGTTCTTGGTGGGCACCGTGGGCAACTCCATCACGGCGTACACGCTGGTGAGGAAGAAGTCGCTGCAGAACCTGCAGAGCACCGTGCACTACCACCTGGCCAGCCTCGCCTTCTCCGACCTCCTCATCTTCCTGCTCTGCATGCCCATCGAGCTCTACAACTTCATCTGGGTCCACCACCCCTGGGCTTTCGGCGGGGCCGTTTGCAAGGGCTACTACTTCCTCCGGGACGCCTGCACCTATGCCACGGCACTGAACATCGCCAGCCTCAGCGTGGAGCGCTACATGGCCATCTGCCACCCCTTCAAAGCCAAGAGCATCATGTCCCGCAGCCGCACCAAGAAGTTCATCAGCTGCATCTGGATCGCCTCCTTCCTGCTCGCCATCCCCATGATCTTCACCATGGGGCAGATCTACGGCAAGGACCGGGACCCCGACTCGCTCATCTGCACCGCCATCGTGGACACCTCCACGCTCAAGACGGTCATCCAGGTGAGGGCCGGGGGTCCGCCTCCTCTGCCGGCTGGCCAAACTTTGCGGGGCAGGAGGGGAGGCTGGAGCGGGGTCCCGGGCAGCCCCGAGGGGACGCCCCTGCCCGGGGTGCTCTCGGGAGGGGTTTGGGGGGGTCTCGGCTCCTCCTGCTGCGCCCCTCCCCGCACCCGCTCCTGCCCCGCCGCGCTGAGCAGAGAGCTTGCACCGGGGAAAATCCTGCTCCGTGCTCAGTCCGGCCCCTTCCCGTGCCCGGAGCTTCCCCTTGTCCCGGTCCGGAGCTCCTGGTGGCCGGTCGTGGCCAGAAACCCCCAAATCTCCACCCTTCCTCTGCATTTTCTGCATCTCCCCCCCTTCTGCTGGAAAGCGGCCAGCAAGTTCAGGGCGAATAAAACCATCTCCCCCCTCTCCCCGTTCTTTGTGTTGATCCAGAGCCCTTTTCTTCAGTGTAGTGACAGCTCCTAATTTCAGAAAGTTTTGGACGCAGGGTGTAGCATTGGCTTCTGAAAAGGAGCTGCATCGTGGAAGCCGGAGGCTGCTATTTTTGCTGTTTTGGAGAAATCCGTAGCTGGTTTTAGCAGCCCCTCCTGACTTCAGCACGGCTTTGCTGCTCTCCACACAGTGCTAAATCCAACACGCCCATGCGTGGAACGGATTTCAGCATCAACACTTGCCGTGCTCCAGTGCTCTGGCGGGTTGAGGGATTTGTTTACTGGAGCATTGAGCTTGAAAAATGTAAGAGACACGGAAGGAGGGACAGAAGAGAGCAAGACACCAATCTCCATAGCCCCTTGGCTGCCAGGCTTGCATGTGATAGCTGCTCAATTTTTTATCTGGAACATGAATTTCAGGTGGGGTTAATCGGCGGGCAGTTGGAATTTAAAGCTGCATGTGTACTGAAGTCGCTGGGATGTTCCCACTCTTGAAGGGAGGGAACCTAAATGGAAATGAATCAGAACCATTCCTTCCCACTAAAAGCAGGTGAGGGTATGTGCATTTAGATTTAAGACCAGAGTCAGTAAATGTTTAGACATAACTCTCCCAGTTTCCCCTCTGTACTGTTGAAGTAAACCAAAATCAAGCCCTGATAGAAACCCTGGATTTCCTCTGCATTTTATCATGATCCCTAACTTTCATCTGAGGTGGTGAGGGCTGCATTTCTCCTGTAGATGCCTGGAAGGTTTTGTCAGCGGCAGCCCAGTGTACTTAACCCAAATTCTCTGCTCTCTGAGGAGACTGAGCCATCTGATTTGAGAACAATGGGACTGAAATGCATTATTTCCACTCATCTTCCTTCTAGGATTAAACTGATGCTCGTTGTTACCATGGTAGGGCTAAAACCAGAGGATTATTTCCTAGCCATATCTTTGGAGATTACACTTTAAACAATTCTCAGTATACCTTACAGCCTTGCAATGATTCAATTCCATTAGCCAAGTCAGGAGTAGGAAACATGAATATATTATGTGTATGTGAAGTTCACCTGTGGGCTTTCCTCATATATATATATATATTTAATTAACTAGTGGATTAATTTAAAAGTTAAAAGAAAGAGGCAGCTGTTGGGGGAGAAGGAAGAACCAAATCCCAAACTGTGCCAATCTGTTCCTTCTCAGGGATCTGGCTGCAGAAGTGGCTTTGCCAAGCCGGGAAGGTTGTTTCATGGTTTCACTCCATTCCTCTGAGCACAGGGAAGCATCACACAACGTGAGGCAGGGCCCTGGGCCGGGAGGGCTCTGGAGTGAATAAGCAAAGCAGCTGCAAGGCAGGTTTGAAGTGCGTTAGTGGAAACCATGGCACAGCGTGTGAGCCGGCCTGGGCTGTGCAGAGGTTTAAAAAAAGACAAATGATGGAAGATCCGGGAGAGAAAGGGCAGTGCTGATGTGGAGTGTGACGTGCAGAGGTCTTGCTGGGTGGCAATCTGGAGCCCTGGTCTTTCATAGTGGGTTCAAGCTGCTTTAGAGCATCTCTGCATCTCTTTGCATTCATTTTCTGTCTTTAAATTAAGGAGAGCAGTGATGCACTTGCTCGAGCTGGCAAATCACTTGTAATAAATCACTCAACATCTTTCACTCCTATTCCTGTTTGGCAAACTGTCTAAAGCAAACTGGCATTTTCTTTTTTGGAAGCCATTAGCTCTCCAAGTGGTTTTATTTGTTGGCTGATTGAAAGAAGTTCAAGTTCTGTCCCAGAACAGGGCATTGTAACCATTTATATCCTCGGAGACCAGTGTGAGCTATGGTTTTGCTGGGATCATTACAGGAGAATGATCCTCTCTGAACTGGAACAAGCTTCCTGGAAAAAGTATTTCACAGAATCACAGAATATTCTGAGTTGCAAGGGCCTATTTGATTGTAGTAATTTAACATCTCTGATTTTGAAAAAGTTCCTCTGCATTTGCTTTGAGTATTCAAATTTTAATGGACATTCCTGAGTGGAATTAGACTGAATGTGAGCAATCAGGATTCCTAGTAAGAATAATAATAATAATAAAGTAATTATTCAAAGAACACTCAGGAAATTTGGTTCTTGCACCACTTAAGCTCCACAACAACTGTAAGAGGCAATGACTGATATTCTTCTAGCAATTACTAATTGCTCAGGGCAGCACATAATCAGGAGGAGCAGCAGGTGAGACATTCTGCAGGGTGACACTGTGTGTCCCCACGATCCCTACCCCAGGCACATCTCACCTCTTGCCATCGAGGCATTAGGCCTGTGTGGCCTCTAATATAGAATTCTTAGAACTATTTCCCAGCTTTGCTCATCACTGTCCTTTCAGCTGCTGTAATCAGCCTGTGGATCTGGTTTATTATACATTTTCCATTGCCAAGTTTTCATGCTGCTAGTCAGGGATGTCTGCTTTGGATTTTGGCACCCACGTGGGATCTGGTACCCGGAGTAAGTCCATTATAGCCACATTATTTAGGTCTGGTAAACTCTTTAGCTGGCAGACGTCCCCTGAAAAGCACTGTTGCTTTAGGTTCTTTTTCCACACAGATTAAACACCTCTTAAAGCCATACAAGTAAATTAATATTTTCATGGCGCTTCAGCTGGAGGAGGTTTTAAAGCTCCCCATTGTGGCAGCAGTAGATAGAGAGTTCTGGGGTAGGATGAGAGGTTTTCCTTGTTCACTGATGAGGCTGTGCCTGTAGGGCTGGCTCTGGAATCAGCTTCCTCAAAACAGGATCCCACTGAGGGTCCTGATCTACCATGTGCAGCCCTGTGTGCCATTAACATTGCACAGTCTGAGCCCTGATTTTCAAAAAGCTCTGAATTTTACTGGCCAGATGCAGTGCAAATTGATTTTCCTGCTTATTGCTTTCTTACCTTCATACCTGTTTTCTGGAGAGGTTCACAGCAGAACCTGAAGGAAACACCTCCAATCCTGGTGCACTGCCAGTCCCCACACACAGAGCTCCTCAAACTAAAATCCCAGGACTCCATCTGAGCCTGGGCTGGGCACACGTGCAAGGGGAGCTGGGTGTGGGCAGCTCCTGGCCCCCCAAAATGCACAGGGGAAGATGTTTTCCCACTGGTGTGGCACAGCCTGTGCTCGGATGGCTCTGCTGCAAAATGTCCCCCAAGCCACAGCAAGTGCCTGGAGAGTGTCTGACACATGCTAATGTTTGATTTGCACAGACAGCTGGTGTGATCCCATTTATTAAAACACATGGCAGCAGGCCCTGCTCCTGCAGAAACTGCCACAGCTCCAGCAGCTCCAAGTTGCTCATTTGTTGGGGCAGCACTTGGGGAACTCCTCTGGACATCCTGACCCTTTTGGAGGATCTCTGTTCTGCTGTGGATCTGCTCTGCTCAGCCCAGCCTGCGTGGCTGCAGCTCACCCATCCCTCCAGAGCCCTCGTTTATCATGTTTTATGAAGCCTGCTCACAGTTTGGATGATTTGTAGAATAAATAACTCTGCACACTAAACACCTGTTTGCCCAAGTGGCTCCTCATCTTTATTTCTGCCTGCATTTCTTCATGCAATGCCTTTGAAGGGACCTGCCAAAGAGCCTCAGGTGTGAAGGGGATGGAAAGAAAGGACCAGGAGTCTTGACATCCATTGCCAGGCTCTCTGCACACTCTTCCAAGGTCATCTATTTGATTTCCATTTGTCTGAGAGGCTCACAGAGTTATTAACTCCATGTATGGTGCTGCAAACACTCCCTTACACCTTCCCCTGGTGAGGAGCACCTTGGCAGGGTGGTGGGTTGTGCTCACTGCTCTGGGGCTGTGGGAGGCAGGGCTCTGCCCACCATCAGATCTGTGATGCCAAGTAAATAAACATGACAAGCATTTCTCCATATTACGTGAAAATAACAAGCCATAAAACCAAGTGGCTGAATTCTCTCCAGGTTTGCTGGCAAATCCTATCCAGGATTAGTCAATAGTCCAGGAATCCTGTGTTTATACTGGTATTGAATAGAGGAATTGAAGTTGATTTCTCTTCCTTAAGTCACAGCCAAACTCCTACTGTGGCTTTTAATAACAGAGCTGTTCTAAATCACTCACTACACCAGAGAAGTCCTGGGTGCCACTCACCCCTCTGATGGCACTTTTGTGGCAGGACTGTGTCCCATCAGGTCATGGGAAGATTTTGGTGTGTAAATGTGCCTGGATCCATCCCCACAGTGGTGGAGAGGGACCCCCACCCCAGCAGCAATCCCATCTGTTGTGGTGGGAGCATCCCTAAAAGCTGCCTTTTTTTCATGGGCTATTCAGGGAACCCAGGGCTTTAACTCAGCATATGCACGACAGCCCAGCCTGCCTAATCCCAGCCCGTTTACACTCTGCTCTGTCTCGCAGCTAGATCTAATTTAAATAAGCTCTTGTGTTCATTGCTTTACATAACCACTTTGCCTGCTGTGTTTTGCCAGTTCTTACATAATTTCTTCTCTTTTTCCCCCCCAATTGATTTTAATTCACTTGATTTCTTTTTCCCTCCCCCTTCCCAAGATGTCAGCTGGAGAGATAATAAAAAAATGAGGAAATGTGGCC